GCCTCCCGGAGAATTGCAGCCCGAGCTCAAGGCACTCAGTAGTCTGGGCCCAGGATAGCTACAAGATTTCCTAAGCTGCAGAACAAAGGCTGTGGTCAACGCTTTCGCTTCGCGGGCCCAATGGAACTCTACAGTAAGGATAAAACTCGTCTATGCAGCAGACTGAACTTTCGGGTGGGTCGGTCCCAGACTCTGGAAGGAACTCCCCCAGGAGCTAAGAACCATCACAGACCTCCTGCTCCAGTCGCCAGGCTCATGTCTTTGACCAGGCCTTCTCTAACATAGACACATAGCAACAGGTCTATTTCAGTCATAAACCCCCCAACCTATATTTAACAACTAAAAAACCACACTTGAAACCCTGACAAAACACGACCCTCCACTGCCCATGGGCCTGTCCCTGGGGGGAGGAGGAACGAACAAATGCCGCGTGACAGGTGTGGGCTCACAGTGCTTAATGCAGGGGCTCTCATGGGGCGGCGTGAGCTGTAAGAACCGCTATAGAATAGAGTCGATATGACGCACGTAGACGTTCGTAAGGCGTTTGGCTTAAGTGCTGTTCTGATTCAGAAGTGAGACCCGCACGGCATTGATAAAGCACACTTGAAATGGATTAAGAAGTGGCTAACGGATAGGTCTCAAAAAGTAGCCCTTCCTGGAACAATATTAGCCCCTTTCACCACTGCATCACATTGTTGACTCATGTTCAATTTGAGATCCGCTCTAACCCCCAGATCCTTTCCAGCAGTATGACCGCCTGGCCAGTTTTCCCCATTGTGTAGTTCTGGGTTTGATTTTTCCTTCCTAAGTGAAGTACTTTGCTCTTGTCTTTACTGAATTTCATCCGGTTGATTTCAGACCAGTTCTCCAATCCAGGTCCTTTTTGAATTCTAATCCTGCCCTCCAAAGTGCTTGCAACCCCTCCCAGCTTGCTGTCAGCCGCAGCATTACAAGCGTACGCTCTGCTCCGTTAGCCGACTCCTAAGGAAGTGGACAAGCAACTGAACAAGAGCTCCCAGTGTGATGCTGTGGCAAAACGGGCGAATGGATGGTGCCTCATCCTGGCCATTCTGGGGATTAGCTCCGCCAGGCCGACTCCCTTTCCTGCGGTTGCCCTCCGTCTGTCTGTCTGTTTGCAGCCCCTTTCTCGTGACTCCACCCTGCAGCCAGGTCACTCATCGGTTCCCCTTCCGGGGTGGTCTTTCAGGGTCTCTCTCCACGCGCAGCGTCAGGCCGCCTCACGCCCGCTGCCCTCACTGTGTCACTCCAGCAGCGACTCTGACAGCCTTCGTATCCACTCCCCTTAAAACACCACCCTACCGTGGGTGGGAGGGGAACCCAGGCCCACCCTCCACTCTGGGTTCCAGTCCAGGGCCCTGTGGTGAACAGTTCAGCTCTGCATCTCCACCACCTTCCTGCTCTCACCCCTGGACTCCTTCCTACCAGGCTCCTGCTCCCTTATCTCAGGGCGGGTCACTGCAGGCTTCCTCCCGCAGCTTCCCGCACTATTTCCAACCTCCTGGCTTTATAGAAGCCCCGCCTGTTACATAAGAACGGCCATACTGGGTCAGACCAAAGGTCCATCTAGCCCAGTATCCTGTCTTCCAACAGTGGCCAATGCCAGGTGCCCCAGAGGGAATGAACAGAACAGGTCATCATCAAGTGATCCACCCCTGTCGCCCATTCCCAACGTGTGTTCCCTACAGGCGAGCATCCGTGTAATGAGCTCCCTCTACACAGCCTAAATCTCCCCCGTCTGCAGCACAATTGGCTGATTGGGCCCACTTGGTCTAATTTGGCTCTTGGAGGGCTGGTCTGGGAAGTACACCCTGTCACAGAGGTGAAAACAGGAGGAGTAGGGTGGTTTTCTCTCTCTCTGGCATTGTTGCGACTGTTCCTGGTGTCCACACGACAAACAGGATATTGAAAAACTGGAGAGGGCGTGGAAGAGAGACACCAAAACGAGTGGAAGGCTGAAGGAAAAGGAACCGGGGATGGGGACATGACAAGTGGCCGCCCGTGGCTGATGGAGGAAGCTTTGGGTTGGTGAGGGGCACGTCCCAGCTTCTTCAGAACCGGCTGATGGCCATGGGGACGTGACACTCGCAGTGACGCGAGACTTATTTCATCAGTACCGGCTGTCAAAACCCAGCTGCTTCTTTATCTAATGAGTATGTCAGTCATTGGTCATTTCCACTGTTATCACAATCTAAAATCAAAGTAATTTTACATTGATCTCTTTTAAAATTAATGAGTAGTCCTTGTGGCACCTCAGAGACTAACGCATTTATTTGGGCATCAGCTTTCATGGGCTAGAACCCACTTCATCAGATAGCCCACGAAAGCTGATGCCCAAATAAATGTGTTAGTCTCTAAGGTGCCACAAGGACTCCTCGTTGTTTTTTCTGATACAGACTAACACGGCTACCGCTCTGAAACCTTTTAAAATAATGTTGACCTTTGAGTAGGGATCTGAGAACCACGAATAAGGGGCTGATCCCATGAATAAGGAACTGGAAACAAGGAACCATCTTCAGTCTCTTGGCCCAAGGCTGTGGAGCAGGAAGGTTGGCGTTCTGGAAAGGGGCCAGGGTGGCACGGGTGTGGTTAAGGAGAGTGGGTAGCACAAGCACAATACAAAAGCCAGAGGTCACCCAATGAAATTAACAGGCAGCAGCTTTAGTACAAACAAGAGGAAATACTTCTTCACACAATGCACAGTTAACCTGTGGAACTCATTGCCAGGGGATGCTGTGAAGGCCAAAACTATAATGGGGTTCAAAAACTCATCAGAGAAGTTGATGGAGGATAGGTCCATCCATAGCTATTGGCCAGGATGGTCAGGGACGCAACCCCATGCTCTGGGTGTCCCTAAACCGCTGACTGCCAGGAGCCGGGTGTGGACGACAGGGGTGGATCAATCCATGATTGCCCTGTTCTGGACACTCTGCCTGACGCTGTGGGACGGGGCCACTGTCAGAGACAGGATCCTCGGCCAGATGGTCTGACGCAGTCTATACGCAGCCCCCATCCTCTCGCCCTGCAGGGGGAAAGCTGCTTAGCCAGCGCGAATCCATTCTCCTAAGCGTTCTTCCTCTGACAGACGGACAAGAGGGGCAAATCCTTCCAGCCTCCCCCGCTCCTGCTCCGTCCGCCTGCGGGCTCAGATTTGGGGGGGGGGGAGCGCAGCGCGGTTCAGAGCCCCGCCCGCGCCAGGCTGAGCTGTGAGCGGCTGCTTCTGGCTGGCCAGCTGCAGCATCAGCCCAGCTCTGCCCCTTACCTGCTGGCTGCTGTTTCGGCAGCTTCCCTGGCGCGTCGTTCCCGGTGAAATAAACGCGGCTGCCCGGTGTCGGACCCAGTGCATTTCCCCTTCTGTTTTGGGGAGCCTGGAGGGGTGGGAGGGGCTGAGCAGTGAAGCCGAAGTACTTACCTTTAAAAGGCACCCTTGTTCCAGTGCTTTGGCAGCCCCCTTGGCCTGCCTCTAGCCCCTTGCAGTGCGGGATCTCACAGCACTTCACGGGCATCAATTTCCTTTATTCGTTTGTGGGCGGCAGTGCGGCCTAGTGGGTACAGGGCTGGCGTCAGGAGACCTGGGCTCTTCCCCTAGCTCTGCCGCTGACCTGCTGGGTGACGCCGAGTAAGTCCTGTCCCCTCTCGGTGACTCAGTTTCCCCTCCTGTCCTTTGTCTTATCTCTAGACCAGGAGCTGTTTGGGACAGGGACTCTCACTGTGTGTGTGTGTGTGTGTGTGTGTGTGTGTGTGTGTGTGTGTGTGTATGTACAGTGCCTAGCACAATGGGCCTCTGATGTCAGATGGTGCTTTTAGGTGTTACTGCTTACAAACAGTCGCACACTGTGGCCATTCAAAATGTCCTGGAAGCAGTAAGGATAGAACCCGGATCTTCCTGCTCCAAAAGGGCAGTTGCCTGGCACCCAAGCCAAGAGAGGCTCTCCTTTAGTTGCTGGCATTATAGGGCTGATGACACACGGCTGAGCAATTGCAACAGCTAGCAGAGCGCAGTGCTAGACATACACATTCGCCAGTTTGCTCCAGTCTCGCTTTTTAAGGTTGCTACGCGGTTTTAGTTGTAACCTCCTTGTCCTGCTCTTTGCTCACTGAAAAACACCGCCGGCAGCACTTCAGCGATAGCTGCATTCAGGGCATTGAACTGCTTTTTGAATTGTACAAGGGTGAAAAAATTCCCCTGGTGTCTTTCCCCCTCCAGCCACTCGGGGTTTGTGTTGGCAGTAAGGGACCAGAGCTTTGCGAGGGGGCAGGGCGCTCGGGGGCTGCAGCTGGCCTTCCTGTTGCGTAGCTTGGCAGGACTTGTGCTGCTTGGTTCAGTCCCCGTGGCAGACCCATTGGAAGCCGGCGTGCTTTTGCACCGGAAAGATGGTCCTATAACTACAGTGTGGGGGTGGGAGCAGGACTCCTGGCTTCTATCCGATTTGGTTCCTGGACCTGGGCGAGTCCCGTCTGGGCCTCGTTTTCCCACAGTTAATTCGTTAACGTTCCTAAGTGGCTTTGAGATCCGTGGGTGGAAAGGCGGAGCACCGCTGTTCCTGAGCGCAACTGGAAGTATTGCAGTAGCTTCCAGCGGCAGTAACCGAGGTTGGGGCCCCAGTGCGCCGGGCGCTGTACGGACACACAGCGAGAGACTGCCCCCATCCTGGGTAGCTTCGAGCCCCTGTAAACAAGGGCTGGACAGAGAAAGTCTGATCCCCATGTCCAAGATGGGGAAGAGAGGCAGAGAGAGATTAAGGTGCAAAGGTATTTAGGCGCCTAGCTCCTATGGGAGTTAGGCACCTAAATACCTTTGAGGATCAGGGGCTATGGGGCTGGCCAGGGTTGCACAGGGAGTCAGCGACAGAGCAGGGAATTGGGCCCCGATCACCTGAGTCCCAGCCTAGTGCATTAACCACAAGCCCATCCTTCCGCTCTGCGCCTCTCGGGGCTCTGTGACTGTCTCTCTAACCCCTCTTCCTTCCGGCTTGCCTCAGGTTCCAGAAGCACGTCCACACCTACCGGATCCTGCCAGATGAGGATGACTTCCTAGCGGTGCAGGTAGGGACCGCTCGCTGCCGTGTGCCGAGACTAGTGCAGCTCCTGTGCAGCTCCTGCCGGGGGCTTGGGTCCTCGCTGCTGGGCCCAGATCTCGAAACCAAGCAATGGGGCAGGGTCCTGGGGACAGGGGGTTGCCCCTGCTCTCCCTGTCCTCGCAGGCGTATGCCGTAAGCTGTACGGTGTCGATGATCACTTGTTGCTGCTACGAAGGATAAAAGCCCTACTAGTGGTGCTGGCTGAGAGTCTCCTTTAGCTCAAGCCATAGAAGCCTCCGCTTCTGAAGCTCAAGGGTCCGAGTTCAGTGCCTGCGGTGGCCGTTGGGGGCTGGCTACCGAGAGGGGGGCTTAGCTCGGGTACTGTCCCTAAGGGCTGGGTCCAGCCGTCCCTGGCTGAGGGGACAGAGGAGGGACTGAGATGTGTAGTGGCTCTGAGGAGGCCGGGTCCTCGCCAGTGAAAGTCCTGGGGCCACCAATTCGGTGGTGTCTGGCAGCTGAGACCTCACACAACGGAGGTGTGGGCATTGCAGGGCCCATGAGGCTCCTCTGAAGAGCGGGTTTTTGCCCTGCTCCCCAGAGGTGGCTGCATTTCTGGGTAGCTCTTGTGCAGTGCAGTGGGCGACGGGCTCTCTCCGGGCCATGGGTGTGGTTAGCAGTTCTGCTCACCAGGCTCTGAGCCGGGCCGCCCCCGCTAACGGCCTGCTGGGGCTTCAGCCTCTCGCCCTCCGCAGCGCATGCAGCGCTCACGGCGCCGGCTGCGCTTCCTCGGACACCGCAGCTGTGATCACAACAGTGTGTGGCTGTGCGGAGACCGACACTCCCCACACATGGCCACAAGGGAGTGCTGTGCCAGCCCCAGCCTCCCCAGCCACCAGGCACTGCCATGCCAGCCTCACTATACCCATTGGGCACTGCCGTGCCACCCCCAGCCCCCCTGACCCACCGGGCACTGCCTCTGCCACCGCAGTGCTAGTCACAGCCCCTCCCCCACCAGTGATAGTGACCACAGTGTAGTTAAATTTAACATCACTGTCGGGGGGAGATACCAAAGAAGCAGCAGCGTTTCACCCCAGAAAGGGGAACTACACCGAAATGAGGAAGCTAGTTAGCTGGAAATTCAAAGGAACAGTCACAAGAGTGAAATGCCTGCAAGCTGCATGGAAACTGTGTAAAAACACCACAATGGAGGCTCAAACTAAATGTATCCCCCAACTATAGAAAAAGCCCCAATAGACAAAAAAGTGCCACGCTGGCTAAACAACAGAGTAAAAGAGGCAGTTCGAGGCAGAAAGGCATTGGAAGTCCAATCCTTTTGGGGAAAATAGAAAGGAGCATAAACTCTGGCTTGTCAAGTGTAAGGCAGGCCAGGCAGAATTTGAAGAGCAACTAGCTAAAAACACAAAAAGTGACAGCAAAAATTAAAAAAAAAAAAAATCATCAGAAGCACGAAGCTGCCACTGGACGATCGAGGTGCTAAAGGAGCAGACGAGGAAGACAAGGCTGTTGTGGAGAACTAAATGAATTCTTTGCATCCGTTTTCACTGCAGAGGATGTGAGGGAGATTCCCACACCTGAGCCATTCTTTTTAGGTGACAAATCTGAGCAACTGTCCCCGATTGAGGTGTCAGTAGAGGAGGTTTTGGAACAAATTTATCAATTAAATGGTAATAAGTCACCAGGATCAGATGGTATCACCCAAGAGTTCTGCAGGAACTCAAATGTGAAATTGCAGAACTACTAACTGTGATACTAAGTGTAATAAGCAGCCTCTATACCAGATGACGGGAGGGTAGCTAATGTGATGCCAGTAAGCCAAACTTCATAGAATCGTAGGACTGGAAGGGACCTTGAGAGGTCATCTAGTCCAGTCCCCTGCACTCATGGCAGGACTAAGTATTGTCTAGACCAGTGTTTCCCAAACTTGGGACGCCGCTTGTGTAGGGAAAGCCCACGGTGGGCCGAGCCGGTTTGTTTACCTGCCCCCTCCGCTGGTCTGGCCGATCACGGCTCCCACTGGCTGCGGTTCGCTGCTCCAGGCTAATGGGAGCTGCTGGAAGCGGCGCGAGCCAAGGGTCGTACTGGCCGCCGCTTCCAGCAGCTCCCATCGGCCTGGAGCAGCAAACCACGGCCAGTGGGAGCTGCGATCGGCCGGACCAGCGGAAGGGGCAGGTAAACAAACCGGCTCGGCCCACCGTGGGCTTTCCCTACACAAGCGGCGTCCCAAGTTTGGGAAACACTGGTCTAGACAATACTTAGTCCTGCCATGAGTGCAGGGGACTGGACTAGATGACCTCTCAAGGTCCCTTCCAGTCCTACGATTCTATGAAGTTTGGCTTACTGGCATCACATTAGCTACCCTCCCGTCATCTGGTATAGAG